TGAGGATACTGAAGACAGTACCTCACTACTACACAGTTTGACTTGGACTGTTGTGCAAGGAACATTTCAATGCATTGGATCCATCACTGGGTACCCCAACTTTGACCTTATCTTCTCCCCTTATTTTTTTGTCACATTGTACTTTCTTCATCTGCATTGCAGAGATAATAATATCTTCCTCTCTCCAGCTATTGAGATCAAACGCATGAGCCAAAGGAAAAAACTTTGTGATTAGAAGTTTAAGAAGGTGCTTCTCAAGTTAAGAGAATGTCAAAATGACTCAAGGTGTGTTTTCACATAATACTTGTTCCTTTCCCAAGCCCATAGTTGCTGTTTTTCTTGATGTTTTCATTTTATAAATCCATATAATATTATGGTATGTTTCAAATGTACACAAAAACAGAATATTGTAATAATTGGCCATTATCTTTAGCCTAGCTTCAACAATTGTCAGTATATTGGGCAGTTTTATCTACACCTACCCATTTCAAGTTATTCATTTTATAGCTTTATTGAGATAAAATGCACATAACAAAAATATGTGCATATTAAGTGTACAACTTGATGAATTTTTATAAATTTGTAAGATGCAGTCATAACCACAATACAGTTTGAGAATATTTCTATCACCCAAATAAGTTTTCCTTGTGCTTCTTCCAGTCTTTTTATAAGGTTGAAGAAGTTTCTTTCTATGACTAGTTTGTTGAGATTCTTTACCATGAATAGTGGTTGGTTACATTTTGTAAAATATGTCTTGATATATCAGTTGAGATAATTAGTCTTTTCTTCATTCTTGCAGTAATGTTTATTTCAATAGCTGACAATTGATACTGAATTTGCATAGCTGAGATAAATAAATCTCACTAGGTCCTGGTGTGTAATTCTTTCTATTATGTTGCTGGACTCCTTTTGATAATTTAGGAGGATATTTTCATCTCTGTTCAGAAGGGACATTGGTCTATTCTTTTTTTATGATTATCAGAATTGGTCAAGATAATAATGGTTTCATCAAATGAGTTGGAAATGAACCCTCCTCCTCTATTTTCAGAATTCGTGAATGTTTGTTTTTTCTTCTTAAAATATTAATTACAAATCACCATTGACAGTCGTCTTGAATTGGGCTTTTTTTAGGGGACATTTTTTGTTTTGTTTATTTTCTAATGTGGGATTGCCATTTCCATGCAGGGCTCATTCTTTGCCTCAGCAATTGACCATACTCCTTCTGGGAAGGAGTTTTCTGGAAAGATTTTAATTGCTAATTCAATTTCTTCTCTTATTCTATGCCTATTTTTCTTTTTCATTTTTTTTTCATTGAGTCAGTTGGGCTTATTTGTATCTTCTTGGAAAATTTTCCTTTTCATCTAATTTTCCTGTGGCTAATTTTTTATGATAAAGTTGTTCATATTTTTCTTCTTTAATCACTAATATCTGTAGGGCTATTAATGCGTACCTGAAGATTTGTTAATTTTGTTGATCTTTTCAAACATGCAACCATTGATTTCATGTACTTTTGGTATAACTTTATTGTTTCTTTGTCAGTAACTTCTGCTTTTATCTTTATTATTTCCTTTTTATCCTGCTTTTTCTGTTGAACAGTTTGCTCTTTTTTTTTTTTTAAGATTTATTTATTTATCCAAGCACTGGGTACAGTCAGAAGTGCGGGAGGGTGAAAGAATTCACCAGAGCCAGAGCGGGGAACAGAACAAGCAGACTGACGAAGTACACTGCTGAGGGGAGCAGCGGGCATGGCAGGAGAGGTCTATCGAGCCATGTAGGACCCTCGCCGGTGGCCGGGGATGGAACCGGTGCTTCAGAGGCTGCAGGAAACTTCGCAGCCCAGCACTCAACCACTGCGCCACCAGGGGAGGCCCAACAGTTTGCTCTTTTCTAATTATATAGAACACAATCTTAAGTTATTGGTTTGAGATCTTTATTCTTTACAATATGTTTAAAAGTATAAGTATTCCTCTAAGCACTGTTTGAGCAGTTATTTTTGTTACATATATATTGCAAATATACCATACAGTAACAGCATTCTCTCGGATGCAATGAACAGTTTTTCTCTTAATGTCTCTAAGATTTTTCTTTGACTTCCAGTAATTTTACTAGGATGTGATTAGGTATAAAATTTTGGGTTTTGTTACCATTTTCAGATTTGTTGTGTCCCTTGTACCCTTAGGTTATATTTTTCATTATATATAGTAGCTTTTCTATCATTATTTCTTCAAATATTTTTTTCTGTCCTTTTCTATTTCTATTCTCTATTTAGGACTTAATGCATTTATATTGGTATCTTGATATTATCCTACAGCCCTCTTGTGTTTTGTTCATGTTTTTCTCTATTCTTCATACTGGATAAATTCTATTTATATATCTTCAAGTTCACTGATTCTTCTGTTATCTTAAATTTGCTACTTAGTATTCCTACTGAATCCATATTTTCTGTTTTTTTTTTCTTTTCATCTCCAAAATTTCAATTTTTTAAACTTACATCTCTGACATAATTCCCTATTTGTTGACTTATTGTCATCATACTTTCAGTCCCTTAGGCAGACTTTTTTTTATTTCTTTGGAGATATGTATAATAGCTCCTTGGAAGTTTTAATCTTCTAAGACCAAATGGTAGCATCTTCAGAGAGACTTTCTTTTTATTGCCTTTTTTCTGTGAATGAGATGTACTTTTATATTTTTTTTCCATGTCTTATGTTGTTTGTTGTTGTTGAAATCTGGACATTTTAAATAACATTGTAACAACTGGAACATCCCCTGCCCTCCCAAAAAAAGGCTGTTAATATTGTTTATTTGTTTAGCAACTTGCCTGAACTATATCTGTGGAATTTGTTTACCTAACCTACATGAGTATTGATCAGTGTGGTGGTGTCTTTGTTCAGTGTTTCTATAAAAAACAGATATTTTTTAAAAAATTTAAGTGTGAATACCCAGGAGTCAGATTTGTTTCTGAATAGTCAGTCAGTGACTGATTGGAGGTTGTGCTCAAACACCTTAAGCCAAAAAAGCTTCCAACCTGTATTAGTGATTATGTTTGCTTACTGAGGGGAATGCAGTCAAAGTTCAGGCAATTTTAAAATGTGCTCAAATTTTACTTTTCTCTGAGCTCTATGTGTCTCCTGTGCAGTTCTGTTGAGTGTCAAGATCAATTAGGAATGTGGAGCTAGCTTGGACACTCTCCAGTATCCCCCATGCAGAGGTGTAGAAAGTTCATTAAAACACTCTATGGATGCCTTATTTCCGGTACCTCTCTGTACAATTTTTGCCTACTTTGCTGGTCCATTGTTTATCCCAGCCAGGACGACCTCTTCAGGCTAGCAGAGCAGGTCTTCCCAATTCATTTGCTACTTAAATACATTTGTTTCCCAATTCATGTGCCATTTGTCACAACTGTTAAAGGCAATGCGATAGGTTGTGGGATCTTTTCATGTTCTGTTCCAAATCAAGGAATGCGCCTCCAGCAAAAATTGTTTGTTTTATGCTTTGCCCTGCATTGGTCGAATTACTGTGCAGGCTGAGCTGATGTGAAAGATGGAAGTAGTTTCAAGCGGCAATGGTACAGACCCCTTGCTGTTATGACACAGTTCAGTTTTCTTTTTCTTTTTTTGAAGAATACACACTTTTCAGTTTGGTGTATTCTTTTGTTCAATTTCCATAATCCTGAATTTTTTCTCAGTTTTATATTTTTGTGTGGGGAAAAAACTTACTGAACTTACCCTGCTGTACTGGAGTCTCTCTTCTCTGTCCTTCCTTCTCTTATTTTGAATCATTGCTGGTATGAGCCACTCTTACCTCATACTGACTGAGGTGTTCCCATCCTTGACATTTGTACAAAATTGAGCAAAATACTTAATCATGTGTGGATTTATGACCTGAAGAGAGACATTTTTAGGCAGATGAATCCTTGTAAGAGTCTGGGTAGCAAAATATACACACATTAAGATATTTTCTATTATGTTTTTATGGATACCTTGATTCTACTAACTTCTTAATTTTATTTTCATTTTATATGAAATGATAAAGACATTGAGTAAGTTCAAAGATGAAAAAATATCTGCTTACTGGTTCATAATATGTTTTTTTATTGAATTTCTATTGCTACTCATATATATATTACAGGAACGCATATATGTGGCATTATCAATTATCTGTAGTTATCTTTTTGCAGTCAGTGTTTCTTTTCTTTAATTTTTTTTGGCTTGGTTCCTTTCTCATTATAACATTTTTTTAGTCTTGGGTGACCATTCTGGCTTGCCCAGAAATATTGTAATGAAAGCAATAAAAGGTCCACCTTTCTGGAAAATTCCTCAATTTGGGACAATTGATCTCTTCAGTTATTATTCTCTCTGTGATATTCTCTCTCTCAGTTATTATTCTCTGTTATTATTCTCTCCCTACATTCTAGCTGCTGAATTTCAGAAAATACCTAACTCTCAAACCCAGACCTGCATACACACAAACTTCTGCCTGGAACTGTCTTCAATTCCCCCCCAAATCCATAAACATACAGAACATTCTTTTATAAGGACATTAACCACGCTGTATTTTTCGCTCATTCACTTGTTGTCTCCATCAGCTATTTGCTGACAAGCTATTGCAAAACAATCACAAAAGAAAAACCATACATACAAAAAACAAACATTTGTTTTTCACTTAAGAGGCTGCTGTGTAGTGTGAAGAAAATATGAAAGAAAACAGAGAGTGATGGAATGTAGAATTAGTATATAATATTTAAAAATGTCATATAAAACAAAACTGGAAAAATCTTAGGGTAAAAGAAAAGAGTCTGCTCTTAGCTGGGGTTCTATTGATTTGGATTGGGCTTAGCGGGTTTAGCTTCAGGCACTATGTCAATTTTAGATCTGGGGCCAAGAGGTTACCTGGACATGTCATGTCATAGTGATAGAAAAAACAGCAGTGTCTTGGCTTAAGCTATCCATTATGTAGTCACTTTCAAGCTTTTGCTTATATAGAGGCCATGGTCTGTTCCTTGGTTGTACAGCTGGCTCAGCCACTGAGTAGCCATGTGTAGCCTTGGGCAAGTTACCTAACACCATGGTATGGAAATTTTCTCATCTCTAAAGTGAGGATTATAATGGTATCTATTTCTTAGGATTATTGAGTATAGTAAATAATGTTATTCAGCTGAATAGTTTAGTGCTGTGCCTAGCATAAAGCCTCATACCACCTGGTATATAATTGAAGGCAAGTAAATGTTTAAATGAGTGAAGAGATGAATGAAATGGAAAAGGAGTATTCTAGAAATATGAAAATCAATGGTTTTAATTGTCATGAGCATATTAAAGGGGGAGAAGGTCAACTGGGAGAGTGAACTGAAGCTTAGTTGTGGTGAAAGAGAGAGCATTGGATGTTTGCCCCTAGAAATAATTAAGGCATTTATCCAGCCAATCAGACTCTATATTAAGTCATGTGACTTAACATGGAAAATTTCTAAAGTCGGCCAGGAAAATTTCTATTGTAGTAAATGCTTTTGGTGCTGCAACTGTGGTGTAGCTTCCATGTGAGATCAGCTTCACCTCTGTTACCTACCTTAGTGGACATCATGTGCCTCTCTGTTTTCTCTCTGAGGGCCTTTTACAACATCATGGGAACACATAAGAAGGAAGGGGAGTTACTGCCCATGGGACAATCTTCAACCAATGGAGCTAGGCCCCAGTGGGACTAATGTTCCAGCCTCTTGTATTTCATAAGTTAATCACAAGGTCCCCAAAGAATTGAGCCCAATTGCAGAAAGTGACCCGATAATGACTTATCCTCCTTTTTTCTCTCCTTCTTCCTGGTATTATTCCTAAATAAATGTTCTGCATACCCTCTCAGGTTCTCCTTTCAGGGAAATCCAAGATGAGACGTACATAATTTTTGCTATGCTTTAAAACTCCAATTTGCTTCTCCATGAATCTGTCTTGTGCTCCTACCCAAGATGAAAACTCCTATTTGATATCAATGTTTATTCAGTCCACCCTACCAGTCAAGTTTCTCTTAAAGATAACCAGTAGTGCTTTGTAATATGAAATCCGTAGGATCTATTTTTCTTTGCAAAATACAAATCAAATTACAATATGAAATGCATAATGTTGAAGATGATTTTTTTAATTATAAAGACCTCTTGGGGTGCTGATATTCTTTTCAAGAGGGTGTTTCTCTCCAGTTAAGATTAAGAAATCTATAGGATAACATTTATAGTTTTCTCAAAACATTGCCCCAAAGCACAAGAACATTACTTTAATGTGTGCTGGCAAATTGTTAACCCTAAGGACCACATAAACTATGGAAAACATTAAGGAAAATAGGCTTTCTTTCGATGGAAAACTTCCTGAAAGAATATTTCAATAATATTTCTGGTAATAGTTCAAAATCTCTGTCTTTAGTTTTCATTGTGGTCTTTGTGTAATGGACTAGTCCCTGGAAATTCTATAACTGGAAGCCAATCTATGATAAATTCCATATTGAATAAATGAGGAAACTGAGAGGGAAATAATTTCCTTGAAAATTACCTTGACTTTGTAGTATAGTTTGAAGTCTGGGAGTGTGATGCCTCCATTTCCTTCTTTTTTTTTCAGTAGAGCTTTGGCTATTCGGGGTTTTTGGTGATTCCATATGAATTTCATCAATAATTGTTCTATTTCTTTGAAGAATGCCATTGAGATTTTGATTGGAATAGCATTGAATCTGTATATTGCTTTTGGTAGGATGGCCATTTTAATAATGTTTATTCTTCCAATCCATGAGCAGGGGATGTCTTTCCATTTCTTTGTGTCTTCTTCTATTTCTTTTAACAGTGTTTTATAGTTTTCTTTGTATAGGTCCTTTACCTCTTTTGTTAGATTTATTCCCAAATATTTGATTTTTTTTGTTTCGATAATAAAAGGGGTGGTTTTTTTGATTTCTTCTTCTTCAGATTTATTGTTTGTGTATAGGAAGGCTACTGACTTTTGCGTGTTGATTTTGTATCCTGCCACTTTACTGAATTGATTGATGAGTTGAATTAGTTTTTCTGTGGAGATTTTGGGGTTCTCTATGTATATTATCATATCATCTGCAAATAGTGATAGTTTGACTTCTTCTTTTCCTATTTGGATTCCTTGGATGTCTTTCTCTTGTCTTATTGCTCTGGCTAGGACTTCCAGTATTATATTGAAAAGCAGAGGTGAGAGTGGACATCCTTGTCTTGTTCCAGATCTTAATGGAATTGCTTTCAGCTTTTCACCATTGAGAATGATACTGGCTGTTGGCTTGTCATAGATGGCCTTTATGATGTTGAGGTATGTTCCTTGTATCCCAAGAATTTCAAGGGCTTTTATCATGAATGGGTGTTGCACTTTGTCGAAAGCTTTCTCAGCATCTATTGATATTATCATATGGTTTTTATATTTCTTTTTGTTGATGTGTTGGATAACGTTGATTGATTTTCGGATGTTAAACCATCCTTGTGCCCCTGGAATGAATCCAACTTGGTCGTGGTGGATTATCTTATGGATACATTGTTGGATTCTGATAGCTAAAATTTTATTGAGGATTTTTGCATCAGTGTTCATTAGGGAGATTGGCCTATAGTTTTCCTTTTTTGTGTTGTCCTTATTCGGTTTTGGTATTAGTGTAATATTGGCTTCATAGAACGTGTTTGGTATTGTCCTTCCTTCTCAATTTTTGGAAGAGTTTGTGAAGGATAGGCACTAATTCGTCTCTGAATGTTTGGTAGAATTCATTTGTAAATCCATCAGGTCCTGGGCTTTTGTTTTTGGGGAGGTTTTTAATTACCATTTCAATTTCGCTGCTTGTAATTGGTCTGTTTAGGTGTTCTATTTCTTCTTTATCTATCTTTGGGTGATTGTAGAGTTGTAGGAATTTGTCCATCTCCTCTAGATTGTTGAACTTGTTTCCATATAACTGTTCATAGTAGTTACTGATTATTCTTTTGAAGCCATAATCATCAAAACTGCATGGTATTGGAAAAAGAACAGACATACAGACCAATGGAATCGAATAGAAAATCCAGAAATAAACCCACAGATTTATGGTCAACTAATCTTTGACAAAGGAGCGAAGACTATGCATTGGAGCAAAGAAAGTTTGTTCAATAAATGGTGCTGGGAAAACTGGGTCGCTACATGCAAAAGAATGAAGCTTGACCACTACCTCACACCATACACAAAAATCAACTCAAAATGGATTAAAGAACTAGACATAAGACCTGAAACCATAAAATACATAGAAGGAAATATAGGCGAAACACTACGGGATTTGCACATCAAAGACATCTTTACAGACACATCACCCAAAGCAGTGATAGTGAAGAGAAAGATAAACAGCTGGGACTACATCAAATTAAAGAGCTTCTGCACAGCAAAAGAGACAATAACAAAAACAAAGAGAAACCCCACCAACTGGGAGAACATTTTTGCACCCAACACTAATGATAAAGGACTGATCACAAAAATCTGCAAAGAGCTGATGAGACTCAGCAACAACAAAGAAAATAATCCAGTCAAAAAATGGGCAGAAGAGCTAAAAAGAAACTTCTCTGAAGAGGAAATGCAAATGGCCAACAGACATATGAAAAAATGTTCAACATCACTTGTAATCAGGGAAATGCAAATCAAAACTACCATGAGATACCATCTCACACCAGTGAGAATGGCACATATTAAAAAAACTAGCAACAACAAATGTTGGCGAGGATGTGGAGAAAAAGGAACTCTTGTGCACTGTTGGTGGGAGTGCAAACTGGTCCAACCACTATGGAGAGCTGTGTGGAGATTTCTGGACCTACTAAACATAGAGCTTCCATATGATCCAGCAATTCCACTCCTAGGTATTTACCCAAAGGACACAGAAACATCAATTCCAAAGAGCACCTGCACTCCTATGTTTATAGCAGCACTGTTTACAATAGCTAAGCTTTGGAAACAACCAAATGCCCAAAATAGATGACTGGATCAAGAAGATGTGGTACATATATACCATGGAATATTACTCAGCATTCAAAAAAGATAAACACATGCAATTTGCAGCAACATGGATGGCACTGGAAGGGATCATGCTCAGCGAAATAAGCCAAAAAGAAAAAGAAAAATACCGGATGGTCTCACTCATAGCAGGAATCTAGAAAACTTAAATAAGGGACCAGGAAAATGAATATAAGAAAGTGAAAATCAAAATCAACAAAAAACTATGAACCAGAGACACTTTTTTGGGGGTGGGGGGCGGGAGGGGAAGGATTGGGGTCAGAATGGGGCGTTTGCAATTGTATGGGGGAATATAAAAATAAAATTTAATATTTAAAAAAAAAAAAAAAAGGCAATAATGAAAAAAAAAAAAAAAAAAAAAAAGAAAATTACCTTGAGAAGAAAATAATTTCCCAAAGCTCCTCAACAGACTGTAACTAGAATTTCAGGCTTTTAACTCTTTAGCTGGACTTGTCTCCTATATTGTTCCAGCAAATTTTGTACCTTAAATATTCCCGACTTAGGTGAAGATGCACAAAAGCTCTGCTCTCTTTATAGAATCATGCTTCAGGAACGCTCTGATTGTATCTACAATAGAATTTTCTTTTCACAGTCTGCTTAGTCTCTTCATGACCTACTAGGTACTCAAATATTAGGGCTTGTTGAATCCACTCTTATCTGGGCTCTTGTACTGATGTCATTTGTCTCCTCCTATATCATGCTCAACTTCCTCTCCTGAAACTCTAGGTAAATGGAACATCCTGGCACCTAAATCTTTTTTTTTTTTTACCCCTCTACCTTTTTCCTTTTGAGAAGTAGTTTCAACACTGTATATGATTTAGAAGAATAGGTTCATACTTCGTCAGATGTATGTTACCAAACCACACCAATCACCGAAGAACCCATAAGAGGGGATTTGGACACCTTGTTACCTTGTTTTGTATATAAAACAGCATTACACTCTCAAAATAAGAGTTAATCATGAATTCCATCTACTGAGTACCAGGGGAAATGGAAAGATGAGATGTTTCTTTTCCTATCTTCAATATTTTGATTTGAATCCTAACCTGGAGAGTTTCCATTATGCACGCCCACTCTTACTCTTTCTCCACTCTAGTTCATGCACAGAGTGTTCCTTCATGACTGGAAATTTGGAAGAATGGGAAAGAATGAAGAATGTTTCCAATGCCCTTAATGTCCACGCTGCTGAGTTTGTCTGCTATGTAGAACACCCACATTCTCTTTTGTTTCTTTGGTAGATGAGAGACTCTTCTTTATTCACTACTACCCATGACTCTGATTGGAAATGTTTGGGTGATTCAAGGATGCTGCATCAGGATGCTTATCATTGATCCACAGGTGAACCATGTTCTATAATCATTTTATTAGTAACAAAGGTAATTTTTTTACCTTCATCTACTTACTGATATGTCATTTCTACAATCAGGAGAAATCCCCAAATTTTCTTAAAGTCCAGCACAGAAAATGAAAGAAGGGCTTTAACAAATTTTTAAAAGCCCACAATAACCTTGAGAGAATTTTCAGTCATGGGAATGATTAATAAAAACAATAAATGACTATTCTTAAATATTCACTCTACCAAAAATTTGGAAATTTGCTGTATTCTGAGGGTTAAAGCTGTAATTGGGTAAATGTAGTTATGCAAAAGGAAGGAGATGAAAATAATGCAGGAACCTCACTATCATAAGCTAATATTTCAGTAGTTAAACTAAAAGATACCACAGTATGGACTTTAAAGCACTGTTTTACCAAAATGTTGCAACCATGTTAAAAACATTTTATTGCATCTTTATTAATACACAAAGGGCTATTTTATTCTTACCACATTTCTCAAAAGTAATCTTAGTTCTTTAAAAAATTCTTTGATTCTAGAAATTAGCAAGTACATTATTTCTCCATATTTTAACATAGGCCTTTGATTTCTGCAACTTGTGTTGCAATATAAAGCAGCAGGGTTCCTGATCTTAAGACTGTCAGGTTTATTAATTACATGCATTGGTAGAAGGGAAGTGGGTTTGGGAGTGATTTGAGTTTAGTTTGCAGTTTCTTTTGAACTAGGTAATCTCCCTGGGTACATTTTAAAGTTTCCAAACATTTTTGCACATTTGCTTGTTTAGTTTAATGGCAGAATTGTTTTTATTGTTGGTTTAATTGTGGTAAAGAATGATCTATAATAGTTTTTCTTTGGATTTGTGAAACTTTACTCATTGGTGATTTTTCTAAATATTCCACAAGTACCCAAAAATAATGTGTATTTTATTTACTGACTATGAAATTTTATTTTAAAATCCATTAGATCAATCTTGTTAAACTTATTATTCAAATTTACTATTTCACTAATTTTTGCTGACTATGTATTAAGAGTGGCATAATTTCCCCATTTAATTGTGAGTTTCTCAGTTTTTTTATAGTTATGTCAGTCTTTACCTTAGCTATTTCACTTTTAAATAGCTAAGTGCATGCAAATTTGTGATAGTTAATCCTTCTTGGATTTTTCCTCTTTTATTGATTTTTTAATCTTAAATTCTAATGTATTTGCTATTATTATAGCTACAATAGCTTTGTTTAAATTAGTACTTACCTAGTATAACTTTCAATATCCCTGTGATCTTAACATATATGTATGAATTTTTTAATGAATTGTTGAGTTATACTCTTTAAAAACCCAGTTGGATACTCTGTCTTCTCACCTATAAGTTAATGTATACCATGGTCACTAATATATTTGCAATTCCACTTCTTTAACTCAAGTTTCAATTGTTTTATCTTGTTTATCCTTTCTTTTGAATTATAATTATAAAATATTCCCTTTATCTTTCTCTGCAGATTTTGAAGCTGTTGTCCCTCTCTATATATTAATATATAACATATTAGTAATTATCTTAAATTTTCAAATACAAATTTTTGCATATATGTTCTAGCAAATCTGAAGACATTACCTATTTCAATTTTACTCCAAATTATTACAGAAGAACTTTTCATTCTTTGAAATTAATGAAACATGCCACTTTTTCACATTGTTATTAATGTCTAGAGGGTTTTTGCTTAGTTAGTTTTTCTTGATTGCTGTTGCTTGTTGCTACTTCCTAATGTTGAAGTGAAATTTGATCTGAGTAAGAATGTTTGCTCAATTCTAGAAAACTCTTTGGGAAAAAAAAAAAAAACTGATCTTTTCAAATATTACTTCTAAGTCATTTCTTCGGAGAGTCTTCATCCAGATACCTTAGTTCTTCCTTGTACCTTATGTGTATGTTTTTAACTCTTCATGTTCATTCAAAATTCATTCAAAGTGAACTATTTTAACTATATTTCAATTCACTAATTCTCAGAGACATTGAAAATCAATAATGCTGGCAGATGATATTTTCATTATCTCAATGAAAGGACAAGCAACACCTTTATCATACAAGATTTTGCCATAGCTATAGTAATGGACAACAATAGTATCTTCTGTTATTTTATATCCTTACCAATGATAGTGCTGCTTAGTGTCTCTTATCTTGAGAACAAAGAAATTATTGTCAAGCTCCAAAACTGAATTGCTATAATCTCTGAAGTAGTATCCAATTCAGAGTTCTTTCCCACTTCCTTACACCCTCTTTGTAATAATCTAGGCAATGCCCAAATACATCCTCAGCACCCTTTACTGTAATTCTTCTAAACTATACTCTCCCTTAATCTATCAAGCTGGATATACCTAACTTTGTTTGGCTATGTTTATGTTTTATTGTTTGATTACAGGTGAGTTACTGATTACTGGTAGTTTTTGACTGGTACATTTTAATGGTATCCAGTTTTGATTCCATAGATATTTTATTTTTTATTTATACAATAGCTGGGGTACAGGCCAGAGGCATGGGAGGGTGAGAGGATTCACCAGAGACTGAGTGGGGAGCAGAACAGGCAGTCGGACCAAAATACAATGCTGAGGGGAGAAGCGGGCACAACAGGAGAGGTCTGCCTTGCCATGTGGGAATCTCCCTGGCTGGTCAGGAATCGAACCCATGCTGCAGAGGCTGCAGACAGCTTCACAACACTGTGCTCAACCTGCTGCACTACCAGGGATGCCCCATAGAGATTTAAATCTCTAAAATTTCTATTAATTTTCTATTATATGCATTTTTTTTTCTGTTTCATGTTCCTCTTATTTCTAATGTGAATTACTTCTCATTTTACTGCAGTGAGTATCAAAAAACATCCTTTTTCAATCTATCTCAGGAATTCAATACTTTGTATAGAGGACAGCTTTTGTTTAGATTTTTTTAGCTGCCTTTCTTTTGCTTGCAAGTTCCCTCTAGAACACCATGTGTTTGGGTTTAATATTTTTTGATATTCTGTGCCTAAAACCCTGAAGACCTAAAGACAAGAACCAAGTTTTATCGTCAATTCAGGTCTCCCTACTCTGTAGTGATATTGAAGATAATGCAGGTCCATTTACTAGTCATTTCAGCTTAGCAGGCTTTTACATTGACCTGCTATGCCCTAGTATAATAACTTATTTTAAAAACTGTGGCCACAAATTTCGCAAATCCATGGTAAAAACAGTATCTAAATCTTCCCTACACATCCTAAAAATAACTTCAAAACAGAAAATTCAAATAAACCACACAAATATGAAACTCACCAGATCTAAAAAAACAACAAAATATTAGAAATTTCAAAGTAGCTCTAAGAAGAAAAACAATAATTTTAAGGAGAGCTAATTCTTATTTGCTCACCGCAAGTTGTTGGAGAAAAAGAACAAAAGAGTACAGAAAAGAGTGTATCGAAGTAAAATCACACACAGAAAGATAAAGTATAACATAAATTTTAAAAATTACTGAGAAATCATCCTGGTATACCAGAACACTGATATGAAAGTATGTGGGGTGGGGTCCCATAGATGGAGGATGCTTTATTGGGAAGAAGAGAGTGATAACGAGACAATGTTCTACTTCTGGTCATGATTATATAACATGGCATAAACTTATCCCATCCTTATGAACACCTAGGAAACTGAACAAAAATGCCTGATCCAATTGTTTATAGATATTTGAAATTGGCAGCTTAGGAAGAGTCTCTGAGAGCAGAGAAATGATTTCAGTGGACTCAGTGATTATTCTGGCTTTGTATCTGAAGGCACATTCTAGGCCACAGTGAGGAGAGAGCTAACCAAGAAGAGTATGACTGTCTTGGGGCCTTTCTGGTGCTTCAAGGGGTTAAGAACTGCAATATAAAGCCTCTGCAGCACTAGTTCCTATCCCCAGCCCACCAGGGAGCAACCCACATGGCGAAGCAGACCTCTCCTGCCTCGCCCGCTGCTCCCCTCAGCAGTGTATTTCGGTTAGTCTGCCTGTTCTGTTCTGTTCCCTACTCCTTCTCTGGTGAATCCTCTCACCCCCCACATCTCTGGACTATGCCCTTGCTCTTGTATGCATAAATAAATAAATCTTAAAAAAAAAAGGAATATAACTATCTCACTGAGTTAAGGTAAATAAAAATCAGAGGAAAGGAGGTACAAGTTTTAGAGCAGATATCTGGAGAGAAAAGAGTGATTATTACCTCTTCTACTACTATTGCTATTGCTATTACTACTACTTCATAAAAACACATACAGAGTTACAGAATCAACAGAAATCTTTATTGATTATTAAACCATATACATGTAAAATAAAATTTCATGAACATAAAACATCTATGTATGCTTTTTACAAAATATTCCTAGAGCACACAAAGGGTAGGGAGATGTTAAATCTCCAACAATCCAGAATTGAGAGTTTTTGCTGATAATCTGAGTAATCAGATAAAGATCCTAGAAGGGTCACATTTAGTAGTAGAACTTAACAATCCTGAAAGGAAAGGATTTTTTAATTTACAATTTATGTATATTTATTTATTTATATTTTATTTTTTTAAGATTTATTTTTATTTTTATTTATTATTCATTTTTATTTACCCCTCTGGGGTACAGGCCAGAGTTGTGGGAGGGTGAGAGGATTCACCAGAGACAGAGCAGGGAGCAGAACAGGCAGATGGACCGAAGTACACTGTTGAGGGGAGCAGCAGGCGAGACAGGAGAGGTCTGCCTCACCATGTGGGATTCTCCCGGGCTGGCCAGGAATCGAACCAGTGATGTGGAGGCTGTGGACAGCTTCACAGCGCTGTGCTCAACCTGCTGTGCCACTGGGGAGTCCCCAGTGAGAGGAAAGGATTCTAAACCTGCCCTAACAAAGTTTTAAACCAAGACTTAAAAGGATTCAGCTGATCTGCAAGTACAATAAAACTCTATCAGAGCACAGCACAACAAATTTTAAAGATAAAATGCAGGCACTCAAAATCTTACAAATTACAAGGTACAA